CTGCCTAAAAATTTACCGACCAACGTCTTGGTGCTGAACTACTTACATCAAGGGTAGATTTGGACCAGCAGTGCATATTGTTATGATTCGCACCTTCGGTGCTATATGAAAGGTGACCCGAATGACATAAACGTTATCATATATAACATGAAAACAAGTGAAATCAAGGACGAACTTGGATTAATAACTAATAATTGTAATGACGTTACATGAAATAAACCCCTAGTTTTCGGCCATACGAAACCTAGCCCTAGTGTGTTTAAATCGGGTAACCTAAACCAGAGTTATCCTTATTTTAATAAAAGCAAATTTAACCTTCCCCCACCACTTTATTTTATGAGATAGAGCAAAATACTCTATATCAAAAAATTACAAATTCCTCGCTGATTACAATAATGTTACGTTTTTCGTCGGTTCCGTGTGGAAGAAAGTCACAATTTATTTAAACACTATTTATTTAACACTAATTAACAAAAAAACAATAACGATAAAAGACTTATAGAACTATTTACAAACGATTTATAACTAAGAATTTATTTTGAATTTTAGCGCGTCAACTGCACTGGTCGATTTATAGGCCAGGTCGATCTCTAGGCCACAGCCGCCGGCTTTTATACCTACAGCTAAAAGAACTCTAGAATAGTCCATAGATCGTTAGGTGCATAGAGAAGGTTTCGATTGTTCTCGTATGTACTACTCCATTCCAGTGGAGCTCGTTTCTTCTCGAATCTTCGAATGAATAATTACGGTGTCTATTCTTTAATGCGATGTTAAGGTCATCCGAGGGCGGGCTATATAGTTAGGTTAGGTCGAGTCCACACCGGTCCGCAACAATAATAATGTTTAAAATACCTGTTCACCTGCATATTTTTGAGTAAAACTCTGTTTTCTGATTGGCTATCAGAGAAACGCCCCCTAGCGGACATTTTTCGAACTTGAAAATAATTTCCAGCGATTTGCCTTGGTCGATTTACTTATCAGATATTTTTTCCCAAAGTTATACGATAAGTAGTTTCTGAGATACAGCCGGCGTCCATTCTTAGTTGGCCACCCGGTACATACATACATACTGCCATTACTCGCTGACGAGCATTCAACACACATCAGAAGATGGTCACACAAAGCGTTTTCTTTCATGAGCTTTTCTGTGACTGAAAAGCCCGATACTATGAGATACGTGATGTTATCTGCCTACGGCACTCCGGACATTCAAAAATCCCAATGCTTTGTGGCCTCTTTTTTTACTTTTTGGTTGTCGCTGTTAACTGAGTTTACAATTCTTCTCCATTGAGTTCTATTGTGAGCTGCTTCTTCAGACTCATTCTGCATGTTAATCCCCTTTATGTTTTCGTGGAAAATGTCTTTGTATCTTTTCAGTTGTCCACCTGGCCTCCTGTTACCGTCTACAAGCTCACCGTAAAGCAGAGATTTTGGTATGCGGTTTTCTTGCATGCTGCATACGTGACCAGCCCATCTTAAGCGGGATTTTGTAACCATGACTTCAATACTCTCGCAAGTTAGCTTTTTCAAGAACCGATACGTTTGAGACATGATGGAACCATCGGAATGTTAAGAGTTGTCTAAGGTGTCTCTGTTGCAACTTGTTTAATGCATTCATGTGTCGGCGGTATGGCACCCAGGTTTCGCTCCCATATAACATGGTGGGGATTATAATTGCTCGGTACACTGCAAGTTTCGTTTTTGTACTCAAGTCATGATTGTAGAGAACCCTGTCTGTTAATTTCCAGAATGCTTTTGAGGCGCTGCTAATCCTTTGCTGAATTTCAGAGTCAATATTGGCCTTTTCCGGAATTGAATTCCGCCACATATTCCAATAGTTTTTCTCCAATTTTTATAGCATTATTGTAATCTTCCGGGGGAGTGCACATGATTTTAGTTTTGTCGATGTTTAGCTTAAGCCCCAAAGCCTCGTATGCGCAGGTATATGTGTCATCAGCGTATTGCAGTTCTGTGATGAATTTTGTACGTGTTTTTGCCATGAGTCTTTTTATGTTGAACAGACCGCCGTCGTATCTGTATCTAATGCCCAATCCTCTCTACTGCAATTTTCTGTTCACTATAATGGACAGCGCTGCCATGAATATGTTGTATAGAAGAGGCGCTAAGACACATTCCTGCCTAACTCCTGTATTTGTTAGGAATGTATCGCTCAGTGATCCATGATGTGACACTCTTGACTGGTTGTTGTTATGGAGGCTTTTACACACTGTAAGAAATTTGTTGGGTACTCCGAAAGATAGGTAGAGATAGAGTAGATAGGTACATATATTATGACTGAAATGATCTCAGATGCAAAAAAAAACACAACAGAACATTTTTTTTGTCAAGAGTATAAAGTGTTCTATTTTTTTTACTTTTAGCCCTATGGTCATGATTTTTTTAGTAAACTGTATATAAATCTATCAACTTTAATTCATCTGCAATTTTAAAACACCCTGTGCAATAATTTTGTGAGGAACTTTTCCTAAAACATTATTTTTTGACCAGAGCCATGTCTAATGAGCTTTTTGTTTTTTGACTCATGTCAACAAATGCCTTGGTTAATTTTTAAGAGCGAAGTGAACTTGCTACCAACAATTTGCAAATTTTTCAACTATCATTACTTCATGATGTAATTTTTTAATATCACGAGATGGCTTTGGTGACTATAGTGGTAATATCATAACGACACTGATTAGAACTCTATATTAAAATTTAAAAAAGGTTAAAAAGTAAGGATACAGGCTTGGTTTTAATAAATATTAGTAACACTAACAGAACTGAGGATATTAAAAAAATAACTGTTATAACTAAGTGTACAAACAAAAAAGAAACTTGTAAAAAATACACTAATATTTTGTATTGCCTCCCCCGGCTGCAATAACTATCTGTAGACGTCGCGTCAGTTCATATTGTTAATGAGGCTGCAAATATATTGTGTTATATTTTTTATAATAAAATATAAAAAGTTAATAAAAAATAATAAGTTTATAATAAACAGAGTTTACGAATTAAAGTTGATATATTTATATACAGTTTGCTTAAAAAAAATCAAGGAAATAGAGCAAAAAAACATTTTAAACTTGGGAAAAAAAATTCCGTTGCGTTTTTTTTTGCGTCTCAGTGTATTTAGGAACTTTATTTTTTTAAATTAATAATAAGATTTTCTTCACTATTGTGACTCTTAGGTATTAGTTTTAGGGTCTTATGATGAGCTTTATGGCTTTTGCTTATATCTCGTTAGAAGAATTTGTATTGAATCTGAAATAAACAAAAACTTCCTTTAAAATTCAGGTAGTTATTTTTTTTAATCAAGTTCTCATTCTTCATTTTACTGATCAAAATCTCATGAAATGGATCCGTCGTACTTATTTATTCTATGATGGCCAATTCAAAATAATATTAGATATTTAATTATAGGAAATGTGTATTTACCCTAAGGAATCTGAAAACCTGAACGAACCTTACAAACTGTTTGGTATTCCAGAAACAATGCGAAACCGATTATGTTAATACACTTCTATCTCAGTTCGCTGCCGCACCAATTCTCGATTTTGAATGCCGAGAAATATCACTGTCTTCTCTGCGCTTAAGTTAGATTGGTTTATTTAAATTAGAAAGTTTCCTCTATTTTAGAAGCAAAAGTAGTTCGATTCAAAACAAAATTGCATTTAAAGCGTCTAAATTAAAAGAGAATATAACTACTACATAGAAAGTATGATAATATTGTTGCAGTGTGTCTGTTTACGATATTAAATACAGGCGGAAACTAATTAAACAAGTTTGTAAGAGCCACAAATATGTACAAAAATAGGAAGACACCAAAATAACTTTTAGATAGCGAAATTTAATTTAAAGTTTTTATTTATAAACTGAACTATTTATAATAAAAAAAATTGTGTGTGCATTATGTGCGCATATTTGAAGTGAAACTCCTTACTAACAGATATAAAATTGGAAAATTTGAAGGACATGTTTCAAAAAATGTAGTTTGAAATGTTCAAAAAGTAATAAATTGATTCACTTTCACAAAATTTGTATTAAAATGACCATTCGGGTACCTCGATCAACGTGCCGATTTTGGTTCCAATCGACCCATAATTAAGAAAAATCCTAATGATTTTGTCCATTTAGAGGCATCGGTTGGAAACGTTGAGGGCTTCATCCTGTAGCCCGTCCCCAATTATGTCGAAATCGACTCACATTTTTTCTTCAATACCAAATCCTTAGTCCCACCCTGATGAAAATGTAAACGAAACGTCGCGTCGTATCCAACTTTGCAGGGACGGACCGTATTCACCATCGCTCACATAGCCTACCCACCAAATTTGGTCGCGATCGGACTTTTGACGTTTCTTACGTCAAAACTAACTGTCACAGTGATACATGTCGTATACGGTCCAATCAAAGTTGGCCTTGGTCCAATCTATCGACATTTAAATCTAACGATTTTTTTATTTGATTCATTAATAATGGGGTTTCGTAGTGCACAAAACGCCGTCAAAAAATCATGAGTAGATGGGCCTCTTCGAGAGGAGATTTTAGGGATAAATTTCTCCCTTCACTGCAACCAGTCCCGGCTTTTTATTCTTAAGCTTACAGTATTAAGCTTCATCTAAGGCTAAGAACATAGTGGAGCGACGAGGATAGCGGCGAGCAAGCAGCGCGATACCGCGTCGAGCAAGCCTCGAGGCGTTGAAACATAGTAGAGTGGCGAGGAATAGCGAGGTACTTGCAAATTTAGTATTTTCATTTGCTTATTGATAATTTAAAATGTCAACAGTGTCTAAAATTCTGGGCAGTAGTGTCGCTCCACTATGTTCTTAGGCTAAGTCCGTACGTCGCGTATCATGATACAATTCGTAATTGTATCATGGTCGCCTACCAAGTGCAGTGGCTCTTGTTCGAGCCTAAGGACATGACGGCCGCACGCACGGCCCTTCTCCAATTTTTCCTGTTCTCTGTTCTTCGAACGGCACCGGCCAGGTGGGTATTTGTATTCATAAGATTTTCAACCATGTCAACCCACCTGGTTGGTGATCTGCCTCGACGACGCGACGGGATCCTGCATGTCTTCCCTGCACTACAAGTCTCTCCATATGCACGCTCCTGTTGACGTGACCGAAGAAGGAAAGGATGCGTTTATAGACAGTGCTAGATAGTCTTTGTGGTAATTGGATTTCATTAAGGACTGACACATAATGGTGCGATGTGCTGTCCATGATATTCGCAACATCCTCCTTTAGCACAATATCTCGAAGGGGTCAATGCGTCGTTTGTCCGCTGCCAACAATGTCCATGTTCGTTTTGAAGCATAAATCATAACCGGAAGACAAGGCTATTTACAAGGTTGATTTTAGTCGATTGTGTTAAGTGACTGTTCAACCAAACTTTCGTGAGCTGCGTCATAGCGTTACGGCCCAGTTGGATTCTGTGGCGTATTTCCATTTCTGCAACTGCCGGTATTAGATATAAGCGCACCTAAATAAATAAAGTGTCGCACAACTTCGCAGCGGTCTATGTTTGTGATGTTTGGGCAGTTGTTGTTTTCGCGATTTACGATCATCACCTTAGTCTTTTTGTAATTGATGCGAAGGCCGAACTCTCTACTGATAGTTTCTAATCTTGTTAGAATTGTCCTCAGTTCTAGCTGTTTTGCGGTTACCAATACCGTGTCATCAGCAAAACGTAGGTTTGATATTCTATAGCCATTTAATGATACACCTCCTGTCCGTTCCTCTAGCACAATCCTCATAATGTATTCGCTGTAAATGTTAAATAGCATCGGGGACAACACGCAGCCCTGACGTACTCCTTTTCTTATTTGACAAATATCGGAAACACTTCCATTCCACTTTCATGACTGCTTGGTTGTTATCGCATAGACCTTTTATTATATCTACAAGATGTTGTGGTACTCCCATTTTAGGCATTATACTCTATAACTGTCCCCAACATACGTTATCGAAGGCCTTTTCGTAATCTACAAAGCATGAATACATTAAGCTTCATACATTGTCTGAAATAGTTCTTTTCGGTAAAAAAAGTTAGTCATTTTATAGAATACCTAGTTAGAAACAGTCATTTTATAGAATACCTAGGTTTTATATAGAATGTTATAATCTTCCATATTACGTAATAGTATCCATCTATTCCTTCGATGAATACAAAATCTTAATCTTAGAGTAAGTATATTTGCGTAATGGTAGTATCCAAACATTATAAACGGCTCGTCATTCGGGAAACAATGCCAAAGAGATTATGTTAATACGGTTCTATCTCAGCTCGCTCCGGCCCCAATTCACTATTCTGATTGCAGAAAGATATTCCTCTTCTCAGCGCTTAAGTTAGATTGTTTCATATAAATTGGAAAGTTTTGCTTTATTACAGAGCTATTTCGAAAACTATATTATTACGTATTAAACGGATTACGCTATAGTTGCTATTATTATTATTTTATACAGGGTGACGCCTCTCATATGACGCCTCTCATATGACGCCGAATCCTCAAGGAGAACGACAGTTATATTATAATATATAGTTATATTATATTATATTAAAATAAAATTTTGGAAGCATTTTTTAAAAATACAGTCAGATGCAAAAAAAACGCAATGAAAAAAATTTTGGTTTAGTTTAAAATGTTATATATTTTTTATATTTAGCCTTATTTCCTTGATTTTTTTTAGTAAACTGCATATAAATATATCAACTTTAATTCGTAAACTCAATTTATTATAAACTTTAATATTTGACTTATTATACAGGATAAATCGGAGAGTTGTTTTTACCCTTTATCTTTAAAACACCCTGTGCAGTAATTTCGTCAGCAAATTTTCTTAAAACATTATTTTTCGGTGAGAACCATGTCTCCTGAATATTTTGATTTTTACTGAATTGAATATTTTGTAAAAATTACTATAAATGCGACATATTTTAAAGCTAAAAAAGTGTCGACATATTCACAAGGGACGTGCATATCGGTTTTCACTGGAATATTTTTCTAAAAAATGCATGTACGCCACTGACTTTTTTTTATCTTGTTAGCGAAATAGTGTAAACAGTTTAATGCCGATTAAAAGTTGTCTCTTGATATTTTGTCGCTTTCGGCTTCCTTGATTAGATTTTATTAACTTGCCTTGATCCAATCGATCAGTCTAACAGCAACCTTTAAAAAAAATTAATCATTCACTTGCGAAAGTTTTAAATAAGTACTCATTGATTCTTCATGAAAAAATATGAAAAAATGTTCCTATGAACATGGGTATGGAATTGCATAGTTTTAGAGTTACAGGATGTTAAAATTTTTTAAAATTAGGTTTTTTGTAATTATCTTAAATACCATTATTTTTTATTTCAAATTGCTGTAGGTTGGACTAATAGTAATAATAACTAATAGAAATAATATTTTATAACAAATTAGGTAAAATATATAATTTATTAATTTTATTTTTATTTCAATTTTATTAATTGAGATTAATAAAATTGCGTTTATCTCATCAAGGAGGCCGAATTCGACAAAATATCAAGAGATAACTTTTAATTGGCATTAAGCGGCCTATCCAATTTTGATATCAAAAGAAAAAAGTCAGTGGCGCACATGTTTTTTTATTGAAAAAAATTCCAGTCATAACCCATATGCACGTCTCTGATGATTTTATCCACAGTTTCTTAACATTAAAATATGTAGTACTTATAGTAACTTTTACCATCAAAATTTAATTCGAATCGCTAAAAGTACTTGGAAGAAAATTATAATAAATCAAAGGATTATTAAGACTTTAACACCCTGTAGCTACGAAACAAATCAGAATCGCACCTAGGTTAGTATGAAAAATAAATCTTATTTTTACGTGAGGATTCTCGCCACGAGAGATGGCACATGTTTTTTAAAACACCCTGTATCATATTATAATAAATTATAGCATATATACATTTTTTATGTTTATTAGTCGACTTATTTCATCAGCCGACTATTTTTATTAAAATAAAAGTAGTTTGGGTACCTAGGTCGATTCAGCCTTAAATGAGTACTTGGGATTCACAATCCTGAGGTAATAATAGGTGGTTGAAGCGTAATCTAGCCACATTACCTTCCAAGTATACCGAACGGCTCTAGTATGGCAAGCTGTACCTTGCTACTCCCAAGGCGTTAAACGCTATACACGGGAGCTATTATTATTATTATTATTATAGCATATATACATTTTTTTATGTATACAGGGTTGATCACCACATACGACACGGAGTATTGTAGCTAAACGGTTAGATTTTTGCAAATTGTAAGTTTTGGGTTCATCGAAGGACTACTACAGATTATAGCCACAATTTAAAAATATTTTTACAAGATACAGAGTGGCCCAAATAAATAACAAATTATTAAAGTTGTATTTTTGTAAATGTATTATTATTACATTTTATATTAAAAACATTTACATATTTTACATTTGGTATTAAAAACTTTGATACCCTTGGAGAAATGAAGCCTTAACATTTTTACTGCAATTTCACAAAATTGAAAATATTTCAAAAACGGCAAATACTCCGTGTCGTATGTGGTGAACAACCCTGTAGAAAAAAATTAAAAGCTTACTTTTTTTGACCACTGGACGGTTGGACTAGGATTACCATTAGCTTTACATTCGAAGGACACGGGACTCCCTTTTCTAGTGACTACTTGTCCGCTAGGCGGCATCAATTGGATGCTAGGAGGCACTGTAAAAAAGTAGAAAATACATTAATTAAAACATAATACTACATTATACCATTAATTAGTTAAAAAAAATACATTTTCCTGTTAGCTGACTAAGTTAATAAAACGTTTATGACTCAAAACACTAAAATTTAAATTTTAATGTTTCTTTTAATTATAATTTATACAAAATTTGTTCCGTTCAAATTAGCCTAGGCACTAAAGATGTGAACTTAAAACATTATAACCTTGCAAACTTTAGAAAAATGGACAATCTACGTGAAAGGAAAACAACAGAAATGTTTTTTTTTGTGGCATATATGGAAATATATTATCTTTCTTAAAGTAGGTATTCATCTGTCACTTTCACTGAAACAGTATGATAAATATTGTCAATGAACTAATTAGTATATTCATGCATTCAGTTCAAGTGATAGCTAGGTCTATTTTTGTTCATTTTGGCTGAATAACGAAGACAAACTGAAGTTTGAGAAAGTATTTTATCATTCCGTTTTTCAAGTTTTGACAAAATATTGAAAAAATTATTTCCAAAATTAGTACATTCAATACAGTTTTACTAGAACCACATTTATTTCTGTGTAATATCCACTGATCTATCCAAACCATTTACATTTTCGTCGTTTTTGATATGTCAGAATATTTTTTTGCTAATTGTAATCATAAACTAGCCAAAATGAATTAGGGATCACTTCAATAAATTTTGTTTAAACAAAGAAAATATATTTATATAGGGTAAGTTTCCTACGATATTCTCTATGGGTATCTCGCGGAAACTACTGGAGATAGAGAGTCGGTTAAATGGGGAAAAAATTGCAGTTTTGTGGGGTCATAAATATGCACCATTCGGATTTTTGAAAAAGTTCATGGCTTACTAGATATTTTGGAAAAAAGAAATTTTCCATTATAATTCCATTATAGGTAATCTATTTTAGACAAAAAGTTTTCAGATAAAAGTTGTAGATAATCTCATCCCTAATGAGTTTGTGTTCTCCGATTTTTTCTAAAGTCTGTCATTTTTGACATATGACACAAACATATGTTTTTTAAATGGAAAGCATAGTTGGCCATGACTTCATAAAAAGCGCCATTTTTTAAGATGTTCAGCGATATAAGCTATAATATGTTTTTTTTCGAAAAATTACTGAGTCACAGCCAATTTTTATCTTTCTTGACTAATTTCACTTAGTTGGTATGGTATTCTTATTTTTTATGATTTATAACTTATAAAAAGAGAGAATATATTATTAAACGGGTTCTTTACAATATAAATTACACAAATTAATCCCACGGCCACACAGAAAGCGTTTTTAGCGTTTTGCGTTTTTTGCGTCTCAAGAGCTTTTTGCGATTTTACCGTTTTAAGCGCTTTTTTCGATTTGTGTCCATTAAAAACACGCAAAAGACGCGGCAGGTCTGCAGTTTCTATCAAGATGTCAATTAGTAACGTCGCAAGCTCGTGGATTCCCGGCCCGTCCAACAATCAATCCTGTGAGAAAGAGATAGGCGGGATCGGCGCCGTTAGCGTTGAAGAGATGAAGATAAAAGATGCTGGGATTGAATTGTGGACGGGCCGGGGCGTATATTCGGAGCTCGATTCGGAGACAAACACAATCTACTGCTAGTGCCTCCGTGTGTGTAAAAATAATAATTATTATTTGCCATATATTTTACGAATTTTAATTTATATGTGTATAGTTTTTTTATGTTGTAGTGTTGTGGTTAGTACTTGTTATAATTATAATATAATAAATAATTATAATTATATAATAGAATAGTAAATATTTATAGTTGCTAATGCAATTTTAGGACATGATTTATGAAACATTTTGGGGTGAAATTTCTTTACGCGCGCTGGGAGTAAAAATTCAAGGCCGTGACATACGAGCTAGTGAGACGGCTCTGACACACGAGCTCGTTGTAACGAAACGTGTTAACGGCTTAGAAATACGTAGTGGCGCGACGTGTATTTGTGAGTAGTCCACGTGTTTATCAAAAATATTGATATTTTAATACAAATTTTGTAAAACTGAATCAAATTATTACGTGTAAAAAAACATTTGTTACACGTAAAAAACTATTTTTATTATTTTACGCAAATAAAACTCTTACACGTAAAAAACTATTTGTTACTGCTAGAAAACTATTTTTACGCGTATAAAACTATTTGTTACTGGAAAAATCTTTTTACGCATATAGATCTATTTGTTACGTGTAAAATCTATTTGTTACACGTAAAATACAATTTTTTACGCGTCAAAAACTTATTGTTTCTGGTAAAAACTTTTTACCAAAAAAAATATTTTTACGTGTAAAAACTATTTGTTACACGTAAAAAAATATTTTTTTTACGCGTCAAAAGCTTATAGTTTATGGTAAAAAACCTTTTGTTACGCAAAAAAAAAATATTTTTTACGTGTAAAAAACTAATTGTTACACGTAAAAAACTAATTTTTACGCGTCAAAAACTTATTGTTTCTAGTAAAAAACTCTTTTACCCAAAAAAAATATTTTTTACGTGTAAAAAACTATTGGTTAGACGTAAAACACTATTTTTTACGCATTAAAAACTATTTGTTTCTGTTAAAAAAACTTATTTACGCAGAAAAAAACACTTTTTACGCATAAAAAACTATTTTTACGCGTAAGAAAATATATTTTTAATTTATTACTTTTTCAACATTTCAAACTACACTTTTTCAAACATTTCCTTCAAATTTTTGAATTTAATAGAATCTTCCTCAACAGTAGATGTTCTTTATAAAAATATTTTTAGATAATACCCTAAAATGAAAAAAAAAATGCATACTATTTAATTTATTTTTATTGTATTATTAAATATAACGTCCGCCTATGACGGGGTCTCATCTTAGAAAACGCTAAAGACGCTACAGAAAATAACCTGATTTGTTTTCATTTGCGTTTTTTGCGAGACACACCCAACGCTACACGCTTTTGGTGTGGCCACTTCTATATAATCCTGTTATTTTGTTTTAGTCGCTAAAGACACTTCACGCTAAAAACGCAAAAAACGCTTTCTGTGTGGCCGTGGGCTAAGATTTAAAATATAATATCACTAGGTACATACATTTTAAGTTATTTTAGAAAACCGCCATTGTTTTGAGTACATAAATGCATCTTTTCAAAACTGAATTACCACAGAACGACCGGTCGACTTAATTAAACTTCCCCCTATCACCTCTTGTTAAAACCTCTTCTAAACCTTGTTGTTAACCATACCGCATAAAAGAAAAATAAAATTGATAGGTCAGGTGATCGAGGAGGCTCATGCAATTGATCCACCTCTTCCTATCCCTAAGTTTGCATAATTATGATATAAATTATTTTTAACAATATTTTTATTATGGGAGGGGGGGTATCATAATGAAAGTCATGTTGGAACCACTCTATTGATGCGCGAGTATCTAAATTTAACCTTTCTAACATGTCTTGAAAACCGTTCTCTAAAAAACGTAAGTAACGTTCACCGGTCAACGCATCCTCGAGAATGTATGGCCAAGAAAAGTTGAACCAATAATCCTCCACGCTTTTCTTTATTTGAAAAATTCTTATTTTCAATTTTTGTTTATTTTAATTTACAAAGCTTGGAAGTGACAGTTTCACATTTCACGACGATCGATCTTATTGTTTCCATGGCTAACTAAGTGAAATTGTTTAAAAATTATAAGAATTGGCTTAACTTAGTAATTCTTTCAAAAAAACCTATTATAGCTTATATCGCTGAAAAACTTAAAAAAATGGCGCTTTTTATGAAGCCATGGCCAACTATGGTTTCCATTTAAAAAAGCATATATAATATGTTTGTGTCATATGTCAAAAATGACAGGCTTTAGAAAAAATCGGAGAACACAAACTCATTAGGCATGTGATTATCTACAACTTTTATTTGAAAACTTTTTGTCTAAAATATTTTTGCGGACCGGTGTGGACTCGACCTAACCTAACTATATGGCCCGCCCTCGGATGACCTTAACATCGCATTAAAGAATAGACATCGTAATGATTCATCGAAGATTCGAGAAGAATCGAGTTCCACTAGAATGGAGTAGTACATACGAGAACAATCGAAACCTTCTCTATGCACCTAACGATCTATGGACTATTCTAGAGATCTTTAGCTGTCGGTATAAAAGCCGGCCGCTGTGGCCTACAGAGGGCAGTTATAAATAGACGAGTGCAGTTGACGCGCTAAAATTCAAAATAAATTCTTAGTTATAAATAGACAAGTATAGTTGACGCGCTAAAATTCAAAAATAAATTCTTAGTTATAAATCCTTTGTAAATAGTTCTTTAAGTCTTTTATCGTTATTGTTTTTGTTAATTAGTGTTAAATAAATAGTGTTTAAATAAATTGTGACTTTCTATCCACACGGAACCGACGAAAAACGTAACAATATATTATAACGGAATTGGGACCATTTTTAAAATAGCCAAAATTTGTTTTTTTAAATATCTAGTAAACCATGAACTTTTTCAAAAATCGGAAAGGTTTTTTTCCACCGATTTGCCATAAAAGTTCTCTAAATGAAAATCACTACCACTAATTTTGAAGTTGTGAATCTTACATTGAAATTACAGAAACAATTTTTACGCTAATTGAATGAAGCTTTAAGCAAACTAGTTCAGTGATGATTCAGATATTTAGTCAGGTGAAAATTTTCGTGAGCTATACCTATGAGATAATCCCTAAAAAAAATAAACTTTTTTATTTCAAAAAAGTTTCAAATGCGATACTTCATGTATACACATATGTTTTGTATTTTGACGTAAAATGCTTATTTTTTTAAATAGCCGCCGGGAAAATTCTGCCCAAATTACTTAATAAACTTAAATTAAGTTCACCAAAGTTAGTTTTGGAGTTGGAGTTCAGTACTCGTCCGCAATCTGATATAAAAGCGAGTTTTGAAAGTTAATTTATTTTTGAGAACCGTTTTTCCCCGTTCATGTCGAACGGCGAGTGCTGAATTGCGGCCAATTATACCGG